GCTTTCACGTGAGTATTTTAACATTGTTAGATCTGAAACAATTAGTCGATTAATCACTTAGTCGTTCAATAGTCGTTCAATATGTGAGGATTTTCTGCTTCTGGGTAATGGTCATGGGATGTATGTATGTCGTAAATTTTATAGAATAAAATCAGCAGAGTAATCGATAACGAGTATTAAAGTATTAAAATAAATTAAAGTGTACTTTGACCAAAGAGGATTTTTTCTTTGAGACACCTAAAGAGTGAAAAGTTTTGAGTGTTTCATGAGGACAAGAAAGCAAACAATTGAGCCAAATCACACACACAAAAACATGCACACATTTTTGTTGGTTTTTTCTTTCAATCTTATCCTTTTTATCATCTGGTGACTCCAGATTAATGATTCTGGGATTATCTCCCTGACACCCAGGTTGGGAACCACTGAAGTAACTTTTAAAACCTCCTCAAGGTACAGCTGTTAGAAAAGAGCAGAGTTAAAAGACCGAGGCATTGCAACAGTTTCAGGTTTTTCTGAAGTAAATGTTTTGAACTCTCCTGGTTTAAGGTACAGCTGGACATATAAGATCTTTAGACGTTATAAGATGCTCTACCACTGATTTGAGGTCAGTCAGATAAGGACAAACAGTTTAATACCAAGCGTCTTCAGTGTTTAATCTCATGGGCAGCGATGGTATTAGTAAAGACCAGCATTTTTAAAATATATCCCCTCTGTCATTAACATTTCTTCTGCTGTCTTTAAATATGTTCTTTTTGTCTTTATTCGATAAGACGGGAGAGGGAGAGGATGACGCGTAGAAAAGGGGCACAGGTCAGGTTTGAGCTCCACCAGGTGAGCTACCAAGGCGTCCTGTGATTAACATTTCTACCCCCTCCTTTTACCGTGGGACTGTTTTTCCACTCCAGAAATGAAAAGAGGCGGGACTTGTCATGATCTGTACAAGTTCTTGATTTTATTGTAAGCACAGCTTTGTAAATGCACGAAGGAAACACAACAGTGAAAACTAGAATGTTACAAGAAGAGGAAGGAAAGAAAGACACAATGAAGAGAAGAGAAGAGGGTGACATGACAGTTTTTTTTCCAGAGCTGTAAATAATACATTTCTACAAATTTCTCAGCTGAGAAAACACAAGTGTGAGATAGAGAGAGAGAAAGAGAGAGAGAGACTACGAGAGAAAATAAAAACAAGGATGGGCACAGGTGCGCTCGTGCACCCCCCCAGGGGACTCTCCTAAATGACACTGTTATTGGATATTCCATTTTAATATCATATATAGATACATATCCACTATGTGATAATAAGCCATGTCCTGTCATATTTCATGTAGTAAGCAGCACGCACCCATCTTCCTCCCCATTTTGCCCAGAAGTAGAGAATCGGAAGAACACCACAGATTTTTCTGAAAGGGGCGGACATTGTTCACATTAATTTAAAACCACAGTTGCACCATTCTGACCGTCAATAGGAGCCCAATAAAAAGTTCTTTTTAAAATTTAGTCTCATGCATAGCCAAGCACACAACGCCTCCTATACTTTGGAATCTGCCTATGTACTGTATTAACTATAAGCAGGCGTGACCCACTGTGACTCGTGTTAGTGCTGCGCAGGGTTTGTTGGTCGTACCTTTTAGGCTAATCAGCACCTTTTTGAAAGAGGGAGTTTATGTGTGTGAGAGAGAAAAAACTCCAGACATTAAAAACTGCTGCAGTAAAACCTCATTGCGTAAAATAAATCCAAACTATGACACAATGTAAATTTACATTCCTGTCTACCTGGCCCCAGTTACTTGCTGTTCAAGAAAAGACACAAGGCGGCACCATTCGTTCGTCTCAGCCGTGTTCTATGAACTTTAACTCCTCCCCCCCGCCAAAAAAAAAAAAAAAAAGAGAACATGCAGTTGCACCACTTCCTGTTGACATCAAGATGTTACTCAGAGGGAATACTGTTGTGTTTGGGATACAAAGGAGCTGGAGAGGACGGACACTTCATATCTTCATCCTTGAGTGATTAGTGACTGGGTGGAGTATGTGACTGTTTATGTTTTAAAGGTTCAGTTCAGTCTGAGATCAGTGGATCCGATGGTCGGGAGAACTACAACACTCCTCTCTTATGCACCACAACTCCCATCTTGCAGTGGGACAGGAAATGTATGAGGACTGTGTACACCTGTGTGGGGGTGTGTGTGTGTGCAAGCGTATGTGTGAATGTTTCCTGTGAGAGAGTGTTAGGATGTGTGTTGTTGTTGTTCTCTGTCTGTGTGAGTGTGAGCTTATGAACAGATGTTTATGTTTGCTGGGTAGAGTTGCAGTTCTGTGGTTGCCCTGTGGGAGGGCGCTGTGTCTCCTATAGGCCCTCTGAAGGGGGTTCACTGCCGCTGGAGCCGGACTGGGCACGCTTGATGTACAGATTCAACAGCTTCAGCTATGGACGGACAGACAGAGGATAGACATGTAAGTGTGTCTCTAGAGGTTGCAATGAAGTCATACAATGTGTGTCTAATGAGGTGAAAATCACTCTCGCTAAACACGTAGTTTCTTGAGCACAATATTATACAAGATCTTTGTCTTTACAAGTTATTGCATCTTAGGAGGTTACTATATGCCATCTTAACTAAATTGTTATTATATGTGGTATATATATGCAAAGAATAGCTGGGCTTAAAAAGGTGCTATGGTATTGCATTAAAATATAAGATAAAGAAAAAGGTGGATGTCTTGCCATACTGGTCTCCTGCTAGGACACAGGAAAGGTGTTTTTATCTTTAGGGGTCATATTTCAACCTGTCAAAAACGTAAGATATTGGTAATACAGGATGCTTATTGGTCAGGTTACCTTGCTGCTGGAGAGTTGGCTGAGGTGCGGTTTGAGGTCCTCTCCGATCACTGCGTAAATGGCCACCAAGCAGAACACACAGGCTTTCCTCACACTGCTCTCAGAGTTGTCGTAACCCTGTTCAACCAGATAAAATAGATTACAAACTTGCGGGACGTTTTGTTCAAAACAAAGGAGTCAGAGAAGCTATACATGTATTAACGTGTGGATTGTTTGTGAGGGCAGAAGGTGCATTTGTTTTATAAAAGAAATAACAAATTAGCCACTTATGGTCAAACTTTACAAAGATCTATAATAACTAAGAACCATTGTTAAAACAAACACTCCACTGTAGAAAATAAAATGAATAATTCATCTTACTTTTACTAAATAACCCCCAACATTGTCCTTAAATAGTGCTAAATTGTGATTTTCAGCATAAAAACATAGTTTTAAATATATGAGTTCTCTCTCTGTGTGTGTGTGT